GATGGCCGTCCGGTGGCCGCATTCGCGGAGTGGGGGAGTGCGATCCAGCAATTGTCAGAGATTAGCGGCCATCTCTGTGCTATTGATGTTAATACAATTAATGCAAAGGTGTCGCCAGCTGGACAACAATAACCATAATAAACCATTGCTTCCCTTCCCCAAAAATGAATTTTGTCCATTTGTCCATCCTAGTGGCGCCATCTCTTGAATTAATTAAAAAGCAATGTGAAAAGGTGGAGGTTGCCAAGCGAAGCTGCAGACTTTGCGACAGTAACTTTGCCAGGTTTTGCCGTTTTCACGGACTTTGCACGCTTTGCACCGCTGGCATGCCTAGTGTCAAAAGCGAAAAAAAAAATTGCACTCTCGTTTTCGCTTTTGCTCTACTTATTTTTTAATCTCCTACTAAGTTTTATTATATTAAAAAAAAAACGTATAAAACATAAATGTATTATATTTAAAGTAATATTGTTATAGATACATTTATGCTGACTATTTAATATCGGAATTATTGTCTCTTTATTGTCAGCGTACATTATAATAACTCCATGGGCGCAACTTAGGGCAACTAGCGCAATGGCTAAAGTTAGAAAATGTTCTCCGTTTATCTGGCCACCCATCCGGAGCCTAAAGAAACAACCATGGCGGTCGCGTGTCGGGGTGTACGAGCTTTAGGGAAACTTTTCTGCGTGCATTCCGGTGTGAACCTAAGTCCCTCTTTTTGCGGCGCTACGAACGCGTCGTGGTCTCGTCAGAAAAGCTATGCAATACAGTTCAAAGAGTTTGGAGACCCCTGCAAGGTCTTGGAGAAGGTCGAAGATCCCGTCGTGAGCGACATAGGACCAGATGAGATTGCCGTGAAAATCTTGGCTGCGCCCATCAACCCTTCGGACATCAACACAATCCAGGGAATCTACGGCATAAAGCCCAATCTCCCAGCCAAGGCAGGTCTAGAGGGAGTAGGCGAGGTCACAAAGGTATTTGGAGCTTGTGCTTTGCGACTCTTTTGGTGGTCATGCAGACCATGTTTGTGACTTCGGTGACTTTTAGTAAGGATTGCTTGAACAGCAAGACGCCAGCGTTTTCGTCTGAGCATAACTGGCACATTGTGGTCGCCGCGCGTGCACTGTAGTGTTTAATTAAGTTGCGCGTAAGCAATTATCTAATAAGGAGCTTCCATCAGCTCGGGTTGGTGCGCTGGGATGGATAGGGCCCCGCACCATGCTGGTGGTTGGCTTCACACCGCGCGGATGCGCTTACCAAGGCGTAGGATGCCGCTAACTGCACGGACATGCACTAACATGCACCAGATTTTCAACAATGGTACCTAGTTTTTACATGTGAACTTGGAAAAAACGTGTTGAGCTTACGATGGTGACGTTCAGCCAGTACGTGCAAAATTTTTCGGCACGATTGCGCTTCGAGCAGAAAGTTGATATGCCGCCAAAAACGATTTAACGTAAAAAAAAAAAAAAAAGAATTGCTTGTTACAAAGTTTGACGAGCGGCTTTATGAGCCGCTTGTAGTAAAATGGTTACGATTTTGCGAAACACAGGGGGATAGGTTCAGCAAATCTTTTGTTTCTTCTAAAACGAAACTCGAATGATGGAAGTGACTATAGACCTTTTCCACAAGGGCGCCGCCATCTTGAAGTGTCGTCACTTCCAGTATGGGCGAAAACATTACTTTGCCGTCGCCACGCCAATAGAACACATTTAGGATATAAGCCTAACCGTCACACATTCTCGTTTTGGCTCCGCTCTATTTTTTTACTGGTTACAGGTTGAAACGTTTTACTATTTTGTCGTCGCCCATACTGGAAGTGACGACAATTCAAGATGGCGGCGCCCCTGTGGAAAAGGTCTATACACCTTTCCAAAAAACACTCGACCCCAGGGGCAGCAAACCGTTTTCGAGCCCAGTCACTGAGTTTGAGGCTAGACTCTCACCGGCGTCCCTCCTAACCCTAACCGAGGGGACTGTGATTTCAACAGGCGCAGCCTGCGTAGGGGCAGTTTCAAACGCTGCTGGCGGCTAAATTCTCGTATTTTCGCGCTATATTTTGTGCTTCATGGTACGTACATGTATGTTCCCGAGGACACTGAGATAGCATTGTGCTACATTTGAAAAAACAAAGAAAGCAAAAAAACAAAAAAAAAAGCTGTAAACTATTTTTGTTGGGTACGCGCGCGACAGAACGAATGCGACTGGAATGTATAGTTCTAGTTATTTGTTTTGTTCTTACGATAAGTTTTGACGGCGCCGCGGGATTCGCCGCATGTGAAGCGACAAAGCGCTTTGCTGTCAAAAATAAATTGCAACAGAAGAGGGCCGAAAGGCATGCATTCTTCACGCTCACAAATAACGTGTTTACCGATGGACAGGACGCGGACATACAATTGAGGAAGTGTTAACATTCGAACAATATATCGTACGTACCACACGATGCAGCGTTATCCGAAAAAAATTTATTTGAGAAAGATCTCAAATAACACAGTCACAGTCGACGACAGTCACATCTTGACGATCGAACGGAATCCGAGATGACTTCGTTTTGGGGCACGTTTTGGGGAGCTTCCTTTTTTCACAACCGCACCAAGGCAAAGAAACAAACGCGACTGACCCGTTTCTCACCCCAACCCGGACACTCTTTTGGAGATGACTGAGGATTGTAAGCGGATTATTTCTGGGAGGGAGGAGAACAATGTTCGCAAAATCGCGTCGAGCGTCGTTCGACGTCCTTCACCTGCTTCGTTTCCCGTGAATGTCGAGCAGAAAAGCTTGAATGGCGGGCACTTACCAGCCTTATTTCTCGCAATGGAAGATAACACAAAAAGGGTACGCAGCACGCATAAAAAAAATTAAGTGGAAACTTCCAAGAGAGCGGGAAAACGTCGAATGCAAGACCGCAAAAACGTAGGTAGAGAACCGCGCTGAGCGGGTCTTCACAGTCCCAGAGAGTGGCAGAAAACATCTAGCTGATAGAGGGCGCGAGAGTCGCACCAGTCGCATCAGCATCAGCAACATGGCGGCGGCCTAGGAGCGTTTTTTGGAAAGGTGTATATCGCGTCTGATTGTTTAGAGGCGATATCGTCACTTCCGTTTCTTTTTAGGAGAAACAAAACTTTTGTCAACATGGCCCCCCTGGTAAACGCAAAGTTACCAGTTACCGTCATAATCTAAACCTCAAGACGAGGAGAAATAAAATAATAGATAACACAGTTCTTCTTGTGTCAGGGTTTAAATTATGATGCTTCCTAACCGGCTCGCTTGCACACTTTTGCTCCTTGCAAAGGTTACCATGTCGTGGTCGGCACAAGCCGATGCCCTAGCGGCAGCGTCTTGGCGGGCATCCACACGGGCCGCCACCAACCGATCGCTGTCCTGCTGGCTTCGTGGTGTGACACTCTCGCCCATACTCGGCAGGGATCCCCGAAGGTGCGCTGAGAGCGTGCAAACGGCATGAAGAAACAAAGGGCAATGGGCATCAACATCACGAATAGGCAAAGCCGATGCAAAGGCGTGCGCGAACGTAAACAATGTTAAAAAAGTACCGTCGTTCGCTGCTATGAAATGCGTCCTGCAAACTCAGTAATGCGCAGTCGCATCCCTTCCCTACCACTCATACTTTCTCTAACTTTACGGCTACTCTGTTGTGGGTCCTGCAGACGAAACGATCGTCGGGATACATAGCAATTGCTGCAGCTGAGGGTGGCACAGTTTACCATGGCTATCGCTGTGAATGACTGTCGACTCAACCACCAGCATGGTTGTTACGGGTGTCCGATGTCGTGATGTGACGTAGGTGCAAGGCATGTATACGTAGGAGTAATTACCAGTACTGCAGAAGGATGTCACTTGCAATGCAGTGTGGCACTTGATGCCGTTGGCTTGCACATGAAATGCAAGGTAATAAACTGGAGTTAACAACACGAAGCTGTCAATTCCACATATATGCATTACTGATAGCAACACTACCAAGAGTCTACCTTCCACACTAGTTTCCCACAATAAACTTACTTTTCCCAGCAAAAACGCATGTGTAGAACAAGCATCATCATATGCAAGCTGCTGTCCACATAATGCAGTATCAGAGGACTGCATGGAATAAACGAAACAACCACATAGTCAGAAAATCTAGGAAAACAATTTAGATAGGGTAAACAAACTTACCGAAGAAGTTACACAGAAATAATTAATAAAGCTAAGTAAACGCACAACTCTTCGCACAGGTGCTTTGGCCACTACAACGAATAGCAGTCAAAGTTATCCAGCTGGTCTTGACCAACCACTTTTGCCTTGTATTTGTTGTTTTTGTCAGTTCAATGCTGCTGTGTGGTTTGAATTTGACTGCACATCTTACCACTCTTCTTTTCTTTTTCTAAAACAGATCGGGAAGAATGTGAAAAACATGGACGTGGGAAGCTGGGTCTTGCTTCCAGGAGACTCGTGGGGCACGTGGAGAAACTATGGTGTCGGCGATCACAAAAGGTTCCGAAAAGTAAAAAGAATAATGTTGCATTCTCTTGATCTTATTACCTCTACAAAATCTCTTTCAAATTTTTGGACCAGCTTTGATTAGTTTTATGTTTTCATAAAATGGGGGGCTTCTATTCAAGTTCAAAAGCTAACCTGTGTTATGCTGCAGTTCTGAAAATGCGGGACTTTGAAGTGCGTTGGAGGGAGGCCATAAGTCTGCCCTGTTGGTCTCCATGGCAAGTAGCATATCTTAAGCAAGTTAGAAATTCAGAATAGCAAATGCTTTCTTATATCTAGTGTTTGCAAGAACAGCAGTGTCAGGCGTCTTGGTGTTCTGTCTGGAACATAGCAGATCCCTTGTAATTACTCAAAGGCTTTTTTCCCCACTCCTATACTTTAAAGCTCATCGAATTCAATTCCACAAATAGCTGAGACAACAAAAAACTGAAAAAAAATTATATCACAAACACGTGTAATATCTCTAAGACATTTAAATTTTTGTTTTACTTTTTTCTTACCTCGGATAACTATTGAACTGATTATTCATTTCACCCCTGTCAAATTCTTTCAGCAGAGATAAAAGTTATCCTGAAAAAATAATTAGGTTATAGCTACAGTTACTTGACCAAAAATGTAATGAAGTTACAAAATGATAATACCTATTTAATAACTGGAAAGGTATTAATCTCCCGCTGTATTCTCATTGTGAGCAGACATTTATTTAAATTAGTTTATTTAGTGTTCTCCTGAGATCCAGAGGCATTATACAGGGGAAGTGCAGCAAGAAGTTATAGACTTAAAAAGACAGATGTTCACACTGAAAGAAAATGGTTATAAGTGCAGTCTTAAAGGATTCTATGAGAGTTTTTTTTTTTTTCAAATAAACTTATCTTATGCAAAGGAAGAAATAATTTTTTAAAACATCCTAGTTGGGAAAGGGAGTTATAAAACGAATTTACAACGAAAAAGAAAAATTTTTAGAGCTATATTTACGGCGCAATACGAATTTGTAGTTGGCGCCCGCAGGTGCCGCGGAAAAGTGGTCTTCATTTGTCACGTGACTGGTCTCCATTTGTCACGTGACTGGTCGTTATTTGTCACGTGACTGGTCGTTGTTTGTCACGTGACTGGTCCTTATTTGTCATGTAATGCTTGCGCCCTTTCGGAACCTTCCTATGGCCTCCAAAAGTAACTTATTTATCTTTGTTTTAAGTATAACAAAAAACTGAGATTAATAAGTAACTTTTAGAGCCCAAAGGAAACTCCTGAAAAAGCGCAAGCAGACGTGATAGACCTGTGCGCCGGTCAGATGACGGTGGCAGCGCCTTGAAGCTGACAAACTTGTGCGACGGCGGCGGCGTGGAGAAACGCGTTGAAGCGGCGTCGCACAACGCTCAGCGTGCAGCAGCGGCGACGCAGCGCGGCAACGCACAGGCCTACCACGTGACCAGCGGCGGCTCCCGCGTGCGCCAACTACAAATTCGTTTTGCATGACTCAGTATTCACTCCTTTTGTAGTGGTCCCAGAGGTGGCACCAGCCCAGGAAAGTATGAGAAATGAAAGAGGATTGAAACATTGCATTACAGCTTGAAATGCCTACCGTGTGTTGATGATCAAGACGTGAGGGAGCTTGCAGAGTTGCAGATTATTAACTTGCAAATCAGAGATGTGCAGTTTTTTTGCCATAGACACAGAGGTGACTATGACAAAGTAGTTTTAATGGAAGCGATGCTTGCAACGTCATGGTAGGTTGCGAGAATGGACGATTGTTACTTTTTGAATTAAAGCAAAATACTACAAAATCAATGGAACCTTAAGACTATAGCACAAAGCCATCAAATGAGGTGTTTGCTTGCCGGTGTGCATGGGCACATCATTAGGGACCATTCCCACACTTGTGTTTGACTACAACCTGTTTCAGCATGACCATTTTTTCAAAGGGCGCTGACAGGTCAAAATCTTTTTTTTTTTTAGCATCCAAAACGTTTTAAATTGATGCCTGGACATTACCCTCAAAGGTTGAAACTTAAAAAAAAACAATTTCCAAAAGCCGAATTTGAAGTTCCCATTTGATCCGCGCCAGTGCAGTGATGTCAAAGATTGAGTCGTCCTACAACTCTGGTTTCTCTCACACCTTCGTGTCGTGTTTGTTTGTGTCCCGCGGTTAACCGCTCCGTACGTGCCGCCTATTGTTATGAGCAGAGGACTTTTCACTTTTGAGTTTGAAGTTCTTTTAAGGTTCTTTCAGCAATCTCAAAGTCTTTGAAACGGTATGAGGTCAAAGAGAATGTGCAGTGGACTTTTGTAACCGACGTGAGAGAACGCGTTGCGCCGGTTCTGCGTGAAAGGCTGCCCCTAAACCAAAACTATGGTACACAGACACCAAACCCAGTTGTTTTGACCGTTTCACGATTTCCTTTTCAAAGTCTAAGAGGTCGTCTGGCACCTAAAAAAGAGAGAGCTTTGTCCGATCCACTGACTCACTGATCATCCTCAGTGCTACATGCGTCGAGCGCCAACATGTTTTCAGGGGGAGGATAAAAAGCCAGGAGGCAACATCACTCCAGACTCCAATTTTCAGTATTTGAAAAAGAAGGGCTGTAGTGTGTTCACAATTGCTTATTACACAAATGTCGCTCACAAAGCTTCTCAATTTCATAATCGATTACATCCCAAATAAAAAGAAGCAGGGAGGTGAAGAGCGGGAGAGAAGAACATTTTTTTTCACATTCTGGTATTTTTTTGCATGTCTATTACTACATCTTGCATTGTTCCTGACAACATAAACAAATACAACCTTTGGTATGTCAGTGCTTCTTTAAAGGAATACTGAACCGAAATTTCGAGCTCACAAAACAACACTAGACTGATAGGCGGGACACTGCAAAATCCAACATCACTCGTACAGTAATATCTCTAACAGGTGGCTGTATTTTTGGAAAAAAAGTGTGCGATTGAACACGGCCGACGAGGCCGTTTTCGGAATGTGGGACGTCACAATTCTCATTCCCTCTCCTCCTTGCTCCGTTCCGTCGAGCTGGTGAACCGAAGCGAGGAGGAGAGAAGCGAGGCCGCTTCTCATTCTCAACTGTTCCAGGAGGATTGTGACGTCATAGCCCTCGCTTGATCGCACCCTTCTTTCTTTAAAGTATGGCCATCCATTTGAGTCATAGTTGTATGAGTGATGTTTTGGAGTTCGTAGCGTCCCGTTCAACGCTTCTGCAGCCTTACTTCGCGAAATTCAAATTTCGGTTCAGTATCCCTTTAAGTCTTTTGTGACAGATTACAACCAGCTGCACTGCTGCGGAGCCGGTCGTAATCCGTCAGGAAAGGCTTCACCCTTTATTGACGGGATATACAAAAATTGCATAAAACATATATTTTTTAAGATATTAACGCTTAACAAGCTCCGATAAGAGAACAGAGCGAAATTAAAAAAGAATCGTAATGTAAACTTGCAAGTTATAGCTTTGTTGCTTGCAGGCAACACTAGGCTAAAGTTTGAAAATGGCCCCCTTGCATAACCTGTGTGGATCACTATAAAATGTCACTAATGTCTGCTCATATGATAGCCTCACATCGTCGCCTCAGTGACCATGTGATGCGCCAAGTGGCTAACCCTGCTACATCCTGCTGCATTTTGTCAAAATATAGGTAATCTGTGCCAAGCCTGCGTCAAAACCCAATTTCAGTCGCCTCTTAAAACTGAAACTAAACTGAGTACCGTAATTAAGTATGCGTGTGTTACGTGGCGCAAGTGGCTGCCCAGCACAAAGTATCCTGCGTCAATCGTCCATCTGGTCTTGCATGGTTTTCCCGCCGTCTCGCGTTTCGTGCTTTTGTCGTCTCGTGGGTCTCGTCTCGTGTCTTTTTTTAAAATATTTTCAACGATAGACGTGGGTGAGTGCGGACGCTCAGACGCTAGCATGCCATGTACCAGCCATGCCGTCATGCTGTGAAACGAAACCTCGTTCTTGTGCGGCGGGAGTTACTTTGTGAGCTAAAGCACTGGCTCCTGAAAGCAATGACCGTGGGAAAACTATATTTCGTCCCTGCCTTCCACTCACCGTGGCTGAGCGACGTCGGGTGTTGCCGTCCCCTTGTCGCTGCAGATATGGCACTTTCTAAAATGAAACTATGTACTGCCGCATGTTCATCAACATTCCTGTTCTTGTTTAAGTCATATGTTACTACAAAAATCCCTCTTTAACTCAGACTGCTGTGTCGAAGTATTGATTACCTAGGTTTCTCTCGGTGGGCTTTCCTTCAAGAGGGACCCCGGTAAGTGAAAAATTTGCCGCGAAAGAAAGTTGACATAAAGCAAAGACATAAAGCAAAGAAGGCAATGTCTGCATGCTAAACCCACACAGCACTTGTTTGTCTCGAGTTCAGTCATTCTACAAAGCGCTCCAAGAACTTCTTGACCTTTGCTCGCGATGTCTTGCATCAATGCGCTCAGGTTCTTTTTTTGTGTGTGTGTTTAGCTTGTACCTTGTTTGTTGGCCTGACAAGCACACGCCGCTTGACTGTTTTTGTCGTATGCTCTACAGTTACATTTTGCATGCAATTTTGGGAATCGGTTGGCGACGGAGCGGAGAGGCATAATTTCAGTTTCAATCAAAAAGTCGTTGTCTCCGCTCGCGCGACGAAACACGCGGAACTGCAAGCCTGCCAAAGTTACCCTCACGGGCATGCAAACATGATTGCACGACAGAGGCACCAGCCGGGATGCTTGCAATTCATTGTTTTATGTTTACTTAATTTTGATAGAAAATCTGGCACGTCAGGAACCAGTAAAATGGTGGCAAGTGGTTTTTTGGAATTGCTTGGAAATGCCTACATCAGTGTGCACCTGTGGGATGTCTTAGCAGTAAAAACACAAGCAGCGAGTCCCACTACAACACGTCACATTAGAACACAAAACAAAGTGCCCTTCGGTTGTACAGCACTTTAAACAAATATTTTTTTTTCTAAGAATATTTGCTCCAAAAGTTACTTTTGCTGCTCCGAAACACTATCTTGGCTGCTCCAAAAGCCACTTTTGCTGCTCCAGAACCCTCTTTTGGTTGCTCCAAAGGCCACATTTGCTGCTCCAAAACACTGTTTTGGCTGCTTCCAAAGGGGCTCCAAAATGGCTTTGGCCAATCACATCACTGCTATCATAAAAGTTTAGTGGCAGGAGGAAAACTTATCCATATTTTTCGCCGTTCCACCATTCTTGGCTGCCGCGTATTTGCGCGCCAAGCTTCTTTTTTCTCGTAAATTATCTGCGTAACTTTTCACTAGATGGCGCTATAGTTTAGGTCTTCAAGGCTGTTGCCAGACTACTAGTTTAAAAAAGTGTTAAAACCAAAACTGTTAAAGAAAAAAAATTTCTATATAGTTTGTTGCCTGTAGACAACACTTGTCAACAAAGGCTTAAAAACCGGTTTTTGGCCTCTCCGGTGCCAAAAAGTCACAAGTGCGTGAGCTGGCCTTTACAGTGCTGAGATTTCAGAACACAAAGTTGTGGAAACCATGCTGATAATCGTATTGCCCGGCATTCCTTTTTCCTCGGCAAAGGTGTCCAATAAGCTTGACCTTGTGACGGCGGCCACCATGACGGTGAACACTCCCACGGCGTACCGCATGCTGTCGGACTTCGTGACGCTGCAGCCTGGAGACACCTTCATCCAAAACGGGGCCAACAGTGGAGTCGGGCAGGCGGCCATCCAGATTGCCAAGAGCATGGGCCTCAACTCCATCAACATTGTCCGTGACCGTCCCAACCTGATTGAACTGAAAGACATGCTCAGGGCCCTGGGCGCCGACTACGTCGTGACCGAGGAGGAACTGAGGTGAGAGACCATCCATACCACCCGCCAGAACATCAAACTGCGCGCACAAGAATGTCGACGTCGAGTAGAAGGATTCTGTTTTGTAATGATTGGCGGTATAGGAACATCAGCAGGTCGAAGCCCGTGTGGGAAGGGTGGCATTGGCTGGGAGGTAATGGTTCCTGGGAACATAGTAGAACAGCCTGTTATACCTGTTGTATGCTTCATGTTTCCACTTTTGCCTTTTCCAAGTTCATTTCTCCTTATTTGCATATTTGTTCACAAGAGTTTGATTTTAGTCCTCTTTAACCTCTTCTTTCTGTCCTTTGCCTTCCTTGAAGAAAACTGGGGTTGAATGTCAGTTTTGCAAGGGTGTGTGTTTCCCAATGGTTAATTATCCAGGAAACCAAGCCTGATAACTGCCACCATGTAGCTCAGTGACTCTCTAATGGGCGTCCACGAACCCTTTGGTTTGTGGACCCCCATTAGGGCCTTACGATCCCCAAAGCCCTCAACCGAGCGATAAAATATATATATATTTTTTAAATTGATGTTGACTGTTTTACATGTGCACCAAATGAGTTGCATTGATTAGTTTGGAATTTGCTTGCATATAATTTGCATATAATTTTCTTTATTCACCCTTTTGTCACTGTTACCGTCTATTATCCCCCCTTCCCCCCAGAGTGGGGTCCCCATTCACTTCCATTGACCCAGATGGGGCCCCCAAAACACTGTTAAAAACCACTGGTGTAGCTCCTTCGTGGTTTCCATCCTTTGCTGTCTCACAAACACATGGATAAATTTGTCGGTAGCAGCTAGGAGGAGAGCTTTTCAAATTGCAAATTTACTCGAGAACAGCACATACTATTTATAAGGAAAGGCTTACGTGCATGCTAGCCTTCTCTTCCGCGTTATTGCGGTCCATAGAAGTAGCTGAGGAAATGATGAGGCATAGAACACGTTCATGCACAAAAATTATTTAGTGCACTGGATTCTAGACTTGGGAAGTCGGTTGAGTTCATAGCTACAGCGCAGATGGCCTTCCTTTCTAGGTACTATACTTGTGCTTCGTTTCTTCTCAGGCCCTCTAACCCTTTCATAGACTACAATGATTGGCTGTTGCCTCTGCTGCAAGAGCCAATCATTGTGTTGATCTTTTTTCAGTGGCGCAGCTTTGCTATAGCAAGTTACATGTTATGGTTTGTTCGTGCATTGGCATTTGACTGTATCGAGATATGACTGCAAGTTCCTATAGCATCCAAGAGTAAAGAAAGACTGTATACCACTGCTACATAAGTAGTAGTCATGTGCTACTGCGTGAATGGGCCTTTATACTGTATTTTGAATCACACTATGCAGATCTCAATTTGCATGAACTGCTCTTCAGAAGGGCCCGAATTAGTAAATGAAATCATTAGAAATACCGAGGCACAACCTTTCGTATAAATATCCTATGCGCGTCTTCGCTGACATCCCAACCGAGATATTTTATATGTCTGCGCTTTAGCGCAAGTTTTCTAACGTAACGGCGCCCGCCATCCTCATGGTCTTTTGGGAGCGCCCTTGCCTAAATTATAGTGGCTTGAACGCATTTCCAACTGATCTGTTTGCCACTTCCCGAAATCTCGTCCCTCGGTTCCCGCCCAATGACTTTACAGAAATGTCATGCTGTTGCCTCCGATGATCCTGATGGTGGCAAAGTAGAGGGAAATGGATGTGGCAGATATCTGTCCTGCTGCAGGTCACTCTCCCTCTTGACAATCCACAGAAGTTTAGCAGCCAGGAGTGGGGACGGAGGAACGATGGCGGCACTAGCATTCATCTATACTTTCTTCCGAAACTTCCATCTAACCTCCGATATTGCGACGTCTAGTAGCATGACACACCAGCTCCCGCAACCCTGTTTGTGGCCACTTTGGGACCACTTTTGATACTTGGGCGACATGCGGAGTGCAAGTTCGTCTGCTCCTTGAGCGGGGGTTGCGGTGACTCCAGAGCTCCGAGCTCCAGTTGGCTCCGATTGGAAGGATTAGCCCCGAGAAGTTTGTGTGGCGCCCCCTTATGGCGAACCGGGGTGACGTCACGTCACAGCGAGGACAGAATTTTCCCCCAACTCGCCCCGTTCGCCTTCGCCCTGTGGAGGCTGTGACGACATTAGCTGTCGGCGCGCTCGTTTCTATTCAATTTTTTTTTTTTTGTGCGCGTTTTTTGTAGGAAGTGTAAATTTTCATATGTGACTTTCTTGAGACACAGCCTATATAGCTGCAGAAGAAACTTCAACCAACGTTTCAGGCATGGTTGACAGGGCAGGCAACGCACGAATTGCAGCTGGTATATGAAAATGACGAAATATGGCCACAATTGCAGGAGCATCACTATAGATTTACATTTTACACAATCAATGCAGCTGATGGTGTGAATAAATTGGCAAATAATGTATACTATTTCATGTTTTTTGTTTTTTTGTATCTGTTTTTAACCAAAGTCGCCGAAGCAGGAAAGCTTCATGCTGATCGAGCAGCATGTTAAATATAGTCTGGGCTATAAAGAGAGAATCACAAGTGAGACAGTGCAAGTAAAGGGCCAAAGTGAAGAAAGAAGGAACATTTATTTGTATACATTGCTCGCATTTGACCTTTGCTATATTCGGATTGTATTTCAATGGATTTCACTGGTGGTGTTTGTGGACTTGTTTATATTAACCCTCAAGTAATGTACAACCAACGTAACCGAAGGTGTCTAGCATGTTTAGTCTCTTATGATCTGAAATTTAGATTTTATTTAAATCAAATTGTCCCTACGCAAACTGTCACCCTTCACAAGTTTCACATTTTCTGCAGCTAGTGCAGCATCTACCACTGGACAGCCGTTCGAATGCTTGCTGTTCCTCCTGTTTTCCTCTGTTGTCAGAGAGTCTGGCTGTAGGGAGTTTGGAGGCTGAGGAAGCTTTTGGGGACCTGCAGCAGTGCCTCTTTTAATTGGAAATGACAATTCAAACTTATCGGTGCATTTTCGGAATACACAAGACCGGAATAAAGAAAGAATGTCAGGATAAAGTATAAACATTCCAAATTTTGGTAGTATTGCTGCGCATATTTTCGGCAGTTCAGTACATCTCATACAGGCAACTGGGGGCAATTCGGCCATTTTTTCTGCTACCATACAAACTAATTTCCAGTAATTGGGCATCGTCTAAAAAATAAAGCATGTCTGCATAAGTCTACAAACAGGGATGGGCAAAATACAGGCAAATATGTATCGAAATACAGTTACAAAATACTTCGTCAAAAATGTATTTATTACAAATCTAATTACATTTCCAAAAAAAGCTTTTAAATACAAGATACAAATACAACCAAATGTATTTGGTCTCCTCTAAATACTTTTCCAAATACATTCCTCAAAATTTGCGTCAGCTACTTAGGGCACCTGCAACGGGTTTCTGGGTATCTCATTTTAATTTTGCATCGCACACTCGGGAGTTAGTGTGCGAGGCTCTAGTAACGTAATAGAAATATAATCACAAAAAAAAATGTGATTATATTATATATTAAGCTTGGACGTAATAGGTGAAAAAAGTACAGAGCTTCAAGCAGCTTTTTTTTTTTCGATTACATATTGGTATAGACCAGCAAAGAACCGAGACGACCAAGACGCGCAGCACTAGCTAGAGAATATTTTATTGTTGCAACTCGCACCTGTTACGAAAATCTGGACGACCCGCGCATTTAGAATGTTCCAGGCAAAAATATGGATGGAAATCAGGCTGGAAAGCATCACAAGTTGTCACAGGCGCTTATTTAGCCAGTCTGCCTGTGAACGTCGATTTTGTCACTATTCTTGCCCTGGACTAGCACCGTAATCACAGTCGCTAAACGCGTGTGCTTGAATGAGAGACACTGCATTCAGTGCAGAACATAGTTTTCTTCCTGCTCTTGACAGTGACAATAAATTTGAGGGATGTACTGTCGCCCACAAAATTGTATTTAATTACAATTGTATTTGAAATACCCACGTTTTAGTATTTAAATACACACGTCAAATACATTATCAAATTTGTAATTAAATACAAATGTAAAATACACAAATTATTTGAAATGCATATTTCAAATACTTGTATTTGAAATACTGCCCATCCCTGTCTACAAACTATATAATTAATTCAAGAATAACCAATATTTATGTAAAACAACCCTGTTTCCTTGAGCACTTCAAAGGCCTTCAAACCCAGCGCCTTTAAAGGGGCACTGCAAGGACGTTTTTACTGGGTTTTAAATTGTACCCAACATGAGCGCACTGAACATACCGTAAAATCCCGAGAGATGCCCTACCCCCGAAAGAAAGCCCACCCCTATTTTTGGCTTGATTTGCTATATTTTGTTTAAGCACCAAAAGGTAGCCCACCCCTAGTAATCGTAGTGTTGGGATCAATGATGGCCTCGACTTAAATGCAGCCAGTTATCTATGGCGGGATATAAGCGAACGTTGCTGACTGGGAAGTATAGTCATCTTTGCTTCGTTGCCCCTCGTCACCAGAACAGGCTTGGAAGGGACACATGACATAAAAATTGAATTTTTTAAACTTTTCTTGATTATGCACCGAAAGTTAGCCCACTCCATGTCTTCACCCGATTTGCTCTCGATTTTAGGTGGGCTATCTCGGTATTTTAGGGTAGTAACTTAATGAAACTTATCTTTTCTCGAATTTCGCTTTATATTAAAAGTTATAGGCAAATTAAAATTACAGAAACAAGCAAAAAATAACCTCCTTCATGACGTCCTTGATTGCTTGAGTGGCCGTGAACTAGAGGAGGGGTAGTGAGCTCAGTGAGCGGTCACGGCTGCCGCACTCTGTGTTAACGGCTCGAGAAAGCGCCAGTAAAGCATGTTCTGGCTAGGCTGTATGAAGTGGGCAGCCAGGGCGGCTCGCATTGCATTTGCTGCGCAATTAAACACTAATTTGGCATGACACTTGATCAGCCAAATGACAGCAAACACGGGAGCCACTTCGCGCTGCCATACCGCCAAAAGGCCAAACCGCAAGCTAAAGCTGCTCGCCGAAGGCCTTGGGAACGCTCGGAACCGGTCGGATCCTCCAGTCCGTTCGACCACACTGTCGCCGCGTACATCCGGGTCCTTTCTACGTCGCCGCTCTTGGTGCCTGCTCCTACTACACCTTTCCAGTATGCGCCGCCTTTTCCATTGCTTGGTGGCGGGTATTTCGACCGGTCATTTCTTGTTTCTTAGCTTTATAAACTGCATTTGTTTCTTTTCTGATCTAAAATACTGGACGAAAACTGTTTTCATAAATAATTGAAACCGTTCGCGCCACTTATATTTTGTATTTCGACTAAAAAGAAGCTTTTAGTGGCTCTGACCAGTAGTAAGCCCAGGACCATAAACCTCACATTTTGCGCGCTTTCGGTACCGCGGGTCGCCCCTGTCGGTGGAAGGGTTTTACGTCATCCGGTGAAAATATGATACACTGATATTTAGTTACTCTCTCCGTGCCCGCCGGCTGGCCCGAACCCCAAGAGACGTTGAAACCGCAAAAAAGGTAGACGCTTAAATATGATTAAAGGGCCCCTTTAAAGCATCTGCTAACCAGCTCATGCAGAGTGGCACGCGCAGAGTCGGGGTTGCGAGCTAATTTGCTGACAGCCCAAACGCCTTTGTTATGAATGCCATTTGAGATATCTGCAAAGCGGGATGTAATATTTTCTTAACTCATGAACATGCAAGGAACAGGATTCCAGCGTCTGAAACACGCCGCCGCTTCACCGACCCCTCGCACGATTGCCTTGTGCCGTGTGGAGCGACGGAGGTTCATCGGAGCCATTGCCTCCGCCGAAAGCTTTCGGGATTTTTGACCCAATTATAAGGGTAAAAGCGACAAGCACGCTTATAAGAGGTATGAAAACACATCGGTACCGGCCTAACCCAGCGTCTTGTACACCGGGTAAGCCATGTCCCGCTCCTCGAAGTGCTTGCGGCACACAACGGCCAAACCAGGAAACCGTGACAGGGAAGCGAGCCGGATGCGAGATCGCGAAGTGGAGTCCTTCCCGTGACGTCGTGGTACACCTCACCCTATCAGGGTGCGGCGACCGTAGCAACGCTTGTGTTTGCTCTCGGGGTTAATAGTGGGTAGGCCTGAAGGCAGCTAGCATTGAGGTCTACCCACTATCTTTCCATCAGAGCCGATCGGAGCTTGGCATTCTGACGTCAGAGGAACCCCTGTGCAAGAAGCAGACAAACTTGCGCTCCGCATAGGGTGGTAAACACACCAGGGTGGTAAACACACCAGTTAAAGACACATTCCAGGCACCATACCTAAATTAAAAAATTGAGCCTGCATTTCGGTGCCAACTAATGCCAGCCCCTTTGGGGTTCTCTCCCACTCTCGCCGTCTCCTCAAGGACTCCAATCATGAAGGAGATCTTCACCGTGGTGCCACCGCCAAAACTAGCCCTGAACTGCATCGGCGGCAAGAATGCCACCGACATGATGCGGCACCTGGCAAGGGGCGCTACGGTCGTCACGTACGGGGGCATGTCTCGCCAGCCAGTCACGGTCTCCACCGCGGCACTCATCTTCCAAGACATCCGGGTGGTCGGGTTCTGGAGAACCCAGTGGGCCAAGGAGAATGCTAACACCAAGGCTGACGACAAGATGTACGAGTACCTGGCTAAGATCTCCATGGAGGGAAAGCTCCAGCCACCTGCCCACAACCTTGTGCCCTTCGATAATTACGAGGACGCGGTCAGGACATCCATGGAGTCGTTTGCCGGAGCGAAGCAGATTTTGGTGATGGCCTAACTTTGCTCAAGGTAAGAGCCGACGTGTATCACAGCGAGTTGGACTCTTCTATAAAAAAACTGCCTAGAGGGAAGGTGCCTAGAATGCCTTGGAAGAGGGTCATTGGAATTGTATGTTACAAGGAAAATACAGATTTGTTCTGTCAGTCAAACGGCGTCGTCAGTTCCATTTTGAAACAAAACATCTGAACGAGTCTGTGCTATACTTTGTTTCACCTTACATCCGAGCGTAGCGGATGCCACGAGCCATTGGAGCCAATCCAAGGCTGTGTGAGTGTCACGTGACCTTGGAGAAGGGGCACAGCGATGCGCGGAAAGCGTATCACGGGCTACGTCAACAGAGCGGGATTGGCCAGGATAGCTCGTTGCGTCCGCTGCGTCTAGACGAAAGGTGAAACTCTGTATACACAAACTCAACTCTCCTACGTCACGCCGCGGTGGTGGCGCGCCGGACGCACTTCTGGTCTGGGGTGGTGGGCAGAAGTCGCCGTGCCAGACATGCATTCCTGTGTTCCTTTGGAAGAAACAAGACAAAAAACCTGCCTTCTCGTCAAAATGCTGCGACGGGGGCTGTACCCAGAGAGTCGGGAAAGGTTTGAAGATCAGTTTTCATGTGTTTTTTTCTCCTCCGTTCATCCGAGGACGTGGATAGTAGCCGTGAATAGGGCAAACCAGACGCTGTCGAGCTACGATTGCTTGTGCGGGAAATACTTTGTGGTCGCCAAATGTATTTGCTTTGTTCCAACATGAACGAGAGAAAACCTCCAAGTTGTCCGGACCACCCACGGGTTCAGTCCGTCTTCAAATTAACACGGCCGGCTGATCGTTCGAACTTTCGTCTGCTCTTTCAAACTTGTCTGCTTTTTGTCGTCTGCTCGTTCAAACAAAAGCGGCCCATAGACCAAACTTTGACCCAGTGATTGCAAAAAGAAGTAATTGCAGGCCTCAAAAGACTTAAATAGGCTCCATGTAAACAGTAGATACAAGATGTTGATCATTGGTGCCGGTGGCCATCACCGACTTGTTACGCTTGCTCTGTTCCCGCTTCCGATTTTTAGTATCGACGTCGATCATCGCCGCTACCTTCTACACTTTTGCAGCACGAGCGACGTCGCGACCGAAAATAGCTAGAAGAATCTCATTATGGTTTTTGGCGTCCATTCTACGGCGTTAACGCGAATGAATCGCCGCACGTCAAATTATTTACGGAAAGTTTAGCAGCGTAACCAGCCTTGATAATTTTGCTCAGGCGATTAAAGTGGTAAGACATTGCGATGAGGACGTAGAATCGACAATTCCAAAGCGAAAAAGAGTATGCAGACACACACACACCGACAACGTGACATTCGAATGGTTTGTTGACGTGGGACGCGGTGCTTCTTGCCCGTACTCCATTGCGCATGCGTTCGAACTGTCGTCTGCTCTTTCAAACTTAGCTGCTTTTTGTCGTCAGCTCGTTCAGCGGCCCGTAAACCAAACGTTGACCCGGTAATTTCATAAGAACTAAGTGCAGGCCTCAAAACACTTTTGAAGGTTGGTTGGGGTAAGTAGGCTAAGTGTAAACAGATACAAGATGTTGATCATTGCTACCAGTGGCCATCACCGACTTGTAATGCCCGATTCCGCTCGGGGTTTTCAGCATTGACGTCCACCATCTCAGCTACGGTCCACGCTTTTGCAGTCCGAGCGACGTCGCGACTGAAAATAGCGTGCAGAATCTCATCGTGGGAGTCAAGCTTTAGCGCCCATTCTGCGGCGTCCACGTGAAATGAATCGTTGCGCGTCACATCATTCACGCAAAGTTTTGCCTCGTTAGTTTTGCTGAAGCTGCTCAAGTAGTCAGACATTGTTAGGAGGACGTAGAACCAACAATTCCAACGGGGAAAAGGGCATGGGGACTCCAACCGACACCGACAACAACGCAATTCAATGGTTTGTTAATGGGCGACAGCGGGCTTCTTGCCCACCATCCACCGCGCATGCGCGGCGCAGGTGGCGTCCGCTGGGGGGCGCTCCGGTTTGTTTGTAACCATGAGTTGGTGTATAGAAACACTGCGATTTCCATAAATTTTTTTTAAGTGTAATACTGTATTTTCCGGACTATACATGTTTACAAGTTAAAATTTTACCTGGTACGGACTATCTACAGATGCCTACTATACAAGGTTTCATATTCTTCTAGATCGTTCACTGGGAAGAATGTTATGAATAACAGAGTATATTAATAATGATTTATGTATGATACAAGCTTCTTTGTGAGCTAATACTACAGGCAGGCATTGGCCAATATGTGCTGTGTATGATAATTTTTATGTTCGGATTAGACACTAAGTGCGGACTATGCATCATGTGCGGACTATGCACCGGGTGCAGATTATCTAAGCAAAAACTGTTATTTTTTACTCAAAATTTGCCTATAGTCTGTAAAATACAGTACTATGATTAAGTGTTTCATTAATTACGCCTTTTCTCTATGTTAGGTGCTTGACTGGTCACTCGTTTCAGATCACACACTTCAAACATAAAAAAAAAAACGGCGAGTATACTTACAGCGAAAATAGTTCATGGGTGAGTGTTTATTCTCCATGAAAATCTGAAGGCCTCAAGTGTTTAAACATGATGTAGGGGGCTCGTTCCATCGAGCCAAGGTAGACAATCAATATGATACGGTGTGGTACACTCAATGTGATCAGTGTAATACATGCCACACAATGTCAGAAGTAATAGCCTACGTGACTCGCACTGCTGTTTATTGATTGCCAGTGAAGACCTGAAATATGTGACTCGCACTACGAAAAGTAAAGAGGGCAGAAATCTGCATCAAAAGCAGAACCCTCCTGCTCAAAATTGACTGCTTTGAAACTTTATTTGCTGCAATCATAAATAGGCATTTTGGTCTGTTTTGCCTGCAACAGCATACTATTATAGAATTAAAGTAAAATCAGGAGAAAGCTTTTCTTCTTTTTTTTTTTAATTTCTCAAAACTGCTGCAATCAAAATAATACTGAGAAACATTCTGCTCACAAACCAGGCACACGGCTAGAGCTCATGAAGCACGTCGAGCCAGTTTCTCTGCGGGTTGGTACAGGAATCCATCCAGGCACTAGTATGAAAAATAGGCTATGAGCGCCCAACCACATCTCACTACCGCTTCTCAATATTTTACAATGCAAAACGTATAGATATCAGGTCTCATTTAGGCAGCTCAATAAAGATGAGTGACCATTCAAAGCGGCCCATACAATAATGGTCACTTTGGTGTTGATAACTGTACAACTGCTACTAGTAGTATCACAATGAAGCACACCTAGCTCCGGCTCTCGGAATGAACGAGCCGGGCCGGAAAGTCAACGAGGAATGAAAGACTTGGAATTCGGCCTCGGAGAGGATGACGCACCAGGCGAGGCAAACGTGCCGAGAACGACCGATGCACATTTTGCCATTCCACGCCATTTGTTCCGACACACTTTGTATCACGAGCTCTTCAGCACCTTCGTCGGCGCCTCGAGCTGAGCGGCTGATGCATGTACACTGCGAGCGATTCAGAACCTGGTTCCCTGGTCACCCTTCTGGAAGCTCTCCATCGAAATGGCTTCCGTGATGGTGGACTTGCTCCCGTGGGGGTCCTCCTCGGCCTTCTCTTCCTCCAAGTCGTCCTCGTAGAAGTTGGTGATGCTTCCGCTGAAGAAGACAACCGCCACGTAGCACAGGCTGGCCACGGCCAGGAACACGACGGTGATCAGGTGCAGGGAGAAGCGCAGCTTCTCGATGTCGTACAGCCAGCAGTTTCCCCTGCGCCCGCACTTCTCCTCCCAGACGAGGCAGGACGAGTCGAGGATGGCGCCGTACACCAGCGGGTACGGGATGAAGGCTGCGATAGTGGAACACTTTTTTTTTGTAATCTGTCGAGCACAAGAACAGCCTGGTCTCTCGGATTCGCAGAGACAGCTGGTAGGTTTGCTCTAGAGCCGCTAAGAATAATGACACTTCCGACGTTTTGACGCTTAGGGTCACTGTTGCCAGTCGTCCGAAGCTTTATTGGATGTCACAGAAAGCCCTTTTCTGTCCTCCACAAATGTTGAAATGGTCCGTGACACAGCAAATAGCTTTCGCGTGGGCTTTGTGACACCGTGTCTGAAGCTGAGAAAGTTGCATTTTCGAATTATAGCTATTGCTCATTTGTCGGTTTTGCACTAGTCGATCTGGATGAGCATTGTACTGGCATGCGGTCGTGTATCGCTACAGCATGATGCACGTTAAAACCCGAGGCTAGCGGTTGTACTGCACTGGTTAAAATTTTCACCTAGTACTGTGTCGCTACACCTCACAGGCAGAACGACCTTAAGCTGTATAAATGCAAACATGAATTTTGGTTTTTGATCTGGTTTTTGCCTTATTTTTTTGCACTAGGCACAAAATGGTGGCACTCCCAAGAAAGCGAGGGGATAAAGGTGCAGTGCCCTAAGCTTAGCTTACTTTAGTGGCTCTAGTTTGCTGCGCATGTGCGTCATTTGCAGTGTCTGATTGAATCGTTAACGACTATTACATGTGCTGTAAACAGAGTTCCAGGTTCTCCCCGAGTTTATTTTTGTGAAAACTTGGAGAGTCTCATTTGGAGTTTCACTTTTTATTGCAGAAGCTTTCATTTAGTATCCAAGTTTAATTTCGTCATATATCAAATGGTCCAAGCTTTTAAATAAAAGACGTCTAGCTTTTCCGCTCTGGTGAAGAAGGAACACCAGCGAAACTGTACTATGGTGGGAATGAAGTACTGAGCGAGCGTTGATGATTAACCCATTTTTGTTAATTGTTCAAAGTTACTAAGGAGACTGGAGTGGCCGCCTCTCAAGAGGTTTGATCTGACACTCATCAAAACTAGGGATGTTGCAAGCCTCCCGAAGTTTGAGTTCAAAAGGTTTAGATATGTTTGAACCTTGCTAAGCTTCGAATTTGAAAAGTTTGCAACTTTAGAACCTTGCTGAGGTTCAAATATGAATATCTCGAAAATTCTGAGGATTTTGAAATTTTAAGCTTGAAGATATTTACTAGGTGATTTTAATCTTCCCTTGATCAACTGGTCTGGACAGTTTCCCGCTGCATCTAGTAGCTCTTAGGATTACTCGGATTTTATCAGTCTCTGCTCTGATTTTTCTTTTTCTCAATGTGTCGCTGAGCCTACTCGGATTACTGATGCGACGGCCAATGTGTTAGACCTTATTTTTACAACTGACCCTAATCTCGCTTCTTCTGTAACTTATTTACTGGGCATTAGCGACCATGCTATTTTGAATTTCAGCCTGCAAGCTTCATCGCATGTTGCTAACAAATTTACCAAACACTTTCTCGATTATAGCAAAGCAAACTTCGGTGCAATAAATGATGAGTTGGCTTGCTTTCTTGATGAATTTTTGCCTGCGTTGTCAGAACGTGTGATTGAGACTAATTGGAACGTGTTTAAAAACAAAGTAAATTCTCTAATTAATTCATTCATTCCGTGTAGAAATATTGTATCTAACCACATGTCTCCCTGGTTTAATGTAACTCTTAAACGCCTTGCTAGTAAGAAAAACGCCTTTTCCGCGCTGCAAAGTTCTCTCTCCTCGCTGAGTGCTGGGAGCTTTATAAATCTGTTGTCAATGCTTATAAGGCTGCCATCAAGCAAGCAAAACTGACTTTTTTTAATGTTACCCTTCCTTCAACGTTAGCAAATAGCCCTAAACAATTTTGGAGTGTTATGAACGGGCCTAAAGGAACGGCTTTGTCGCTCACTGATGTTGGGGGAATTGACATTCCGAAAGCCCAATGTGTATCCATTCTGAACGACGTCTTTGTCAAGGTGTTTACTGATAATGATGGTTTAGATCAGTGGTCGGCAACCAGCGGCCCGCGGGCCGAGGTAGAATTATACGGCCCTCAGCCTCCCGGTAACCCCCCCCCCCCCCCCCCCCCCCCCCCCCCCGCCCCCCCTACGCAGTCAGCTAAGGAAACAAAAAAAAAAAAAAAAATAAAGTTGACTAATTCGCTGCTCGTCTGCGAGCAGACTTTTTCACAAATGAAGTGCATAAAATCCAACTTCCGCTCACGAATGACTGACGAGAACCTCCACAATGTTTTGCGACTCGCAGTTAGCTGCTTGAATGTGGATGTCCGTAGTTTGGCGAGCGCAGTTCACCACCAAAAGTCTCACTGAGAGGAGTCTCTAGGTTTTCATGGAAAGGTTGTATCTCGTGTTGTTTGTCATGAAATAAAGAAACTGTTCATTTTCGATTTATGTATGTCAATGTAAGTTCGTACAAGCAGCCGTCCGGAACGGGCCGGACGGCTGCTTGCCGTCCGGCCCGTTCCGCCTTGGCTTAGCGGCGACTCGACCCGCTTCGCCAAAAGGTTGCTGACCACTGGTTTAGATTATCCTATTTTTCCAGATTATGCATTTTTTCCCATGGATCCGCTTGCTTTTGATTTCGACGGGATTGTAAAGTTGATCGATAATTTGAAAGTTTCTTCCTTGTGTGGTGTTGACAATATTACCTCTAAATTTCTTAAGAACACTAAATATTACATGTCAATTTTTCTTACAAAAATTTTTGAGCAGTCACTCAACCTTGGTGTCTTACCGGATGATTGGAAAAAAGGAAAGGTGGTTGCACTTCACAAGTCAGGTAACAAACATAATCCTCTTAATTACAGACCCATTTCATTTACCAGCACCCCATGTAAACTTTTAGAGCACATTATTTATTCTCATTTAGTTTATTTCTTAGATTCAAATTTTTTCTTTTCACCCTCACAACATGGTTTTCGCAAATCTCTCTCTTGCGAGACTCAGCTTTTGTCTTTCACTAATGACCTACTTTCCATTCTTGACCGTGGGTCCCAGGTTGACTGTGTGTTTCTTGATTTCGCCCAAGCTTTTGACAAAGTTTCTCATAAATTCTTACTTTTTAAACTTAGCAAACTTAACATTGATCCTAATGTTTTGTCGTGGATTAAATGTTTCCTAACTAATCGATCTCAATATGTTTGTGCAAATGAAACTAATTCTTCCCTTAGTCCTGTTACCTCTGGTATCCCACAAGGTTCCGTTTTAGGACCTCTTTTGTTCCTTATTTATATAAATGACTTACCACTGTGTGTATCATCCTCAATAAGTTTATTTGCCGATGACTGTGTAATTTATCGTGAAATAACTAACGATTTTGACGCAACACACTTCAATGTGACCTGTGTGCTGCATCCGAATGGTGTAACTTATGGAAAATGACTCTTAACACTAACAAATGCAAATCCATGAGGGTTCCCCGTCGGAACACGTCCCCATCACCATACTCAATTTCTAACAACCTAGTGGAATCTGTGACGTCTTACAAATATCTTGGTGTTCACATTACTTCTAACGTTTCATGGAAATTACATACTGATCATATCGCTAACGATAACTCTATGCTTGGATATCTGAAAAGAAACTTCTCTTTAGCCCCAATATCATTAAAATTGCTTCTGTACAAAACTCTGGTTCGATCAAAATTAGAGTACGCCTCGTCAATCTGGGACCCCGGGCACACAACGCTTGTGACTAACGTTGAAGCTGTTCAAAATCGTGGAGGACGTTTTTTCTATTATAACTATCATCGCACCGCTAGTGTATCATCTGTGAAAACCTCATTGTCCCTACCTTTTCTTTTCTTACGGCGGAAAATATCTCGTCTATGCCTTTTCTACAAAATTTATCACTTCAACGCTTCACTAAAAGATGAGTTATTCCTTGACCCCGCATATATCTCTTCACGCATTGATCATCGTTTCAAGGTCGGCATTCCTCACTGTGAGACATCAGCATACAACGACTCCTTCATACCAAGAACGTCTTCTGAGTGGAACCACCTTCAAGCATCTTTAGCAGCTATCCCATCACTTGATTTATTTAAAGAAGCACTTACTAATCACTTTTGTTAATATTTTGTTGAATTGATTGTGTTTTAATCACTGCCTTTTACGTTTGTATTTTCTTTTGAGTGAATTCTTATATGCCCCGCCCCCTCTGTAATGCCCTACGGGCCCTGAGGGTATTGAAATAAATAAATAAATAAAAATAAATAAATATTGAATCTAATGTTTAGATATTTCGAAAAATCCATACATTTCGAATTTAATCATGTGTGAAATATTGAATATTTAAGATTTTGTCCAGGTACAAGTTTGAAAGTTTAGATTTTAAGTTCCAAATCTGAATTTCACAAATGGAAACCGGATTCCGTAGTTTTGAACAAAGTTTTCTTTAATTCACCTAAAAAAATCCTGAAATGTGCTACAAATTTTACTGAAAACTTTGCCCATTTCTCGTACGCCGTGAATATACTCCTGCCCCTTCAGTGCTGTAGTACTGACGGTACTACCTGTGTTACCCGTTATTTTGTTGTACCTTATAAAACAAGCGTTGAACTGGTTGAACAATTCATTGAAAAGTCCTGAGGTGGTCAGGTGAACATACTTCCTGCTTATTTGCAAGCTAGTAGCAATTCGATCAAATGTCGCCGAAATGCAATGCTGGCATAAGACAGCTAAATATGCAGGGCAATGCATTCACATAAAGGCATCCAGGCTTCCCAATATTTTTTTGCAGTATGACCCTTGGGATTGAGAAAACACTGAATGCAGGCACAGCACCCGACACAAGTCAAGGTTGAGGAGAATGCAACCAAACTAAATTAGGGGTCCACCCGGCCTAATATACAGCTGATCAGGTCATGACCGGTTGTTACCGGGCTAACCATATTCCCACTGCCTGGAACTTTTCTTCTTCAATGAATGAAGATGTCTGCCACTCTAAAATGCAACCGGTTACTAATGATAATGAAGTAAGTGCCGATTCAGCGCTCACTGTAGCGCATCGGCGTTGCCCTCCTTATGCACCTTTCCCAGGCAGCAAGGAAATCGAGGGACTCGCGTTCAAAAGCACCTAATACTATGAAGGACGCTCCACGCACAGTGCCTCAGTTGAATTTCAAGTGTACTGATCGGGGATCTGTTGGCCTACAGGTTTCCTTGGGGAAACCGACGCAGTTGTGCGCGGTGGAGGCTCTGTGTAGAAGTCGAAAGAAAAGACCAATCTAAAGCAATCATTCAGCACTTTACAAGCGTACCGTTTGTAGCACAATCAGCTACCGGTAAAGCTCCGAGGGCAATTTCAACTCCACTTCACACATTGACATCAATTGTGTCAGTTATATTTGTTGCTTGGAACCTATGGGGTGAACTTGACTAGAACTTTCTCAAACTTTTGTTAAGAAGTTCGAAGTTCGTCAGACTTCTGAACTCAAACTTGGAAAGTTTGAAAATTGTAGAATTTCTTAGCGTAATAGGTTCGAAAACATCTGATTTCATAGCGTGAAAAATTTGAAGTTTTAAAACTATTGAATTTCTCAGCAACAAAAATTTGAAAGTACGGAAATTTTTGGATTTCCCATGTAATCGGTTTGACGTTTCGAAACTTTGCAAACCTTTCAAACCCCTTGGGTCGATCTTTGAACCTTAGGTTCGCAAAAAGTTTGTGGCATCTCTAATCAAAACTTATGTAAAGTTCTGTCTCTCTCTCTTTTTCTTTTGTCATTGTGATTTTGATGTAAGTATTGGAGTTTTTTTGGATAAATCCTAAGGGAGAGAAATTTTCAATGTATTTTTGGTTGTTTCCAAATGCCGTTAATGGTAGCAATGGAGCATGCATATTGATGATATTGTTTTTTGACCGAGGGCTTACTAAAAGGGATGAATATTATGGACTCAAACCAAATTGCATTGGACTCTACAAGTATAATTCGAAGCAAACTGCATTAAAATCTGCACTCTTTTGCACCTTGCTAAGAGAAGTGGTGGAGAAACGCCACATATTATTGCCCTAGTCAGTTTCTAGTAGTCTCGCACTGAAAGGTCTCAACCTTTCAGTTGTGAGAGAAAACCAGGAAAAAACTGCTGAATGCTACTTTCTGCTCTAACCATGCTTCTAAAGCACAATGCTGTCGGGAGCCACCTGTAGCCATTAATGAGTGTGAAACAACATGGCGTCTCTTTCGTACAGCTTTCATCTGGTTTAAGCTTGATTCCTTTCATGAGGTCTTTGCCGTGCACATTTAATCAGCGTTGTATTGAAGCACCATCGAAGGTAGCGAGCTCATTGTGAAGCCTGAAGAGCCTAAGACACTTCCTATTGTTCCATGCTTTCTACGATACTTTTTGTTTGCAAGTCCTGGAGAAAATTGCTCTTATCGTAAAATCTTTGAAACACACTTGAAGGTTAAATTTTCTGTGAATCTAGCACAGCCACTTAAAGGGTAGCTGAAGTGGTTTTGTATTTCAGGACACACTTAAATCATCTTCATTTGACCTCCAGGCTTTCTAATATAGAAATTATTTTTTAGTTTGGTGCATGGAGGCTGCAGAAAATAATTTTCCGAAGGGTGACACCAGAAAAGGAGTTTTCAAAATCTCTTCTTGCGCCTCTTCAGTGTCTTTCAAAGCTATGCACGTGCATTCTTGCTATTTGTAAAAAGGGCAGAAAAAAATTAGACATTCACAGTTCTCTGTAATGCGAAATAGGAGCGTAGCGCTTGATGAGGAGGAGGGGAGGGTACGGGGGGGTATGCCTCTCCTCCCCCTCAGTACCCTCCTCTCCTGCTCTCCTCCTCGCCTCCCATTTCACAAAGAATTTTCACTAAATTTAGCGAAAATTTTCTTGCCAAGTTTAGCGGGGAAATTTTCCCGCTAAATTTAGCGGGTTAAGTTTCCCACTAAATTTAGCGGGAAATTAAGCAAAAATTTTCTTGCTAAATTTAGTAGGAAAGTTAGCGAAAATTTCTCCGCTAAATTTACCCGCGAATATTTTTCTGCTAAATTCAGCCAGGTTAAGTTTCCGCACTAAATTTAGTAAAAATTTTCCTGCAGGAAAATTTCCCCACTAAATTTAGCGGAAAATTTAGCAAACATTTCTCCGCTGAATTTTCCCACTAAACTTAGCGGGTTACATTTGCCCGCTAAGTTTAGCGAATTGAGTTTCCTCGCTAAATTTAGTGGGGAAATTTACGTCGTGTGGCCTCAACACCAATTCAGTTTCTCCACTAAATTTAGCGGGAAAACTGCGACGTCCCATAATGCAACGCGTGTCGTTACGCTGGCAGCCGAAAGCTCTTCTGATGATGTAACAACTGGTCAAAGGTTTTTCTTGTTTTCTCGCGTTTAGTTACCTCTTTGGGGAAAATGAACGTGACATTCAGATTTATGGGATAAAACTATGCTAGGCTCAACCTCTATCTCATTTTTTAAAATTAAAGTGCAGCCTCTGCATGTCTTAATTGGTTTTCTTTGAACAATCACAGGTTTTTTTTTAAGGATTTAATGTGGATGCTTACCAAACATGTTTAGCAGGGACGATGTCGTTCCAAGAGCCATGCTTTTGTCAATTGGATCTACACACCTGGAAAAGGAGAGCATTAATCGACACAATTATTATTAAGGTTGGGATGAAGAACATATTTTGCAGAGAAGCATGAAAATGAGCATTATGTAAATTCTATTCAGCGTCGGGTGTGCTGGCTGCTTGTTAAGGTGTAAATGACTACTGTAGTGCAGCCAGTGCTATGAAGTGTTCACCATGCACCAGATGCAGCAGCGCTTGAAAATGAAGGGCAAAAATACCCTTCAGAATAGATTTCTGCTCAAGTGGTGAGTGATCAGTTTGGCTTTGGCCTGGATTCAACAACATTCTATAGTTGGGTTCTTTACTTTTGGAGAATAGAAATGATTTCATGTTTTCCTATGTTTACATACCAGTTTATGCCAGTTGCCCAAAGAACCTTCAGTTGATGACCTCGATTATTACGATGTGCTGCTGCGAAAAGTTGTATTCTGTGACTACTTGTAGGAACGAGATATCCATGCTCAAATAGTTCTCATTGTAATTGAAATCAGTTAGCTCATTTCTCCATCAGAATGGAGGGGACTGAAAGAAAAATCTCCAAGAAAACAGCTTGATGGTTCTCAGCTCCCTAACAGTGGCAAACATAGGACTAGATTCCATATAATTTCAGTTAGCATTCTTACTGATCAACAAGGAACAACCACTCATTTCACAGAGAAATCAAGATAGAGGAAAGAATATGTCTTGTATTCAAGAAAAGAATGGTCAATACATGGGAGTGACATACTCAACATCAATAGATGTCACACCAAACTAAATATATATAAATAAATAAGAACATCCACTGTTCTCAGACTTTTAATTGGCATGTCCACGCACAAAAGACTAGCGTTTCCCCTTTTGTTCTGCCTCCATTCATGATGCATCTTGTCATTGCGTGAGTGTCTCTCTTTTTTTAACGCATGCTTACGAGGACCATACTAACCTCAAATAAATGAGCATGCTTCCAATGCGGCCAGTTGAGCCTAAAAGTTGACCGGCAATGACAATCATCAGGAAGAGGCTCAGCTTGTTGCACGTGGAACCACAGAGACCTGGCGTCACGTAGGAGCTGGCCTCCGCAACTGTTGTCGCGATGCAGCTGCAATTGCTGTACACCTGCAAGTTGGCATGACTGCATCTAGTTCAACTTTTGCACATTCTTTGGCAGTGCAAGAAAAACAGTGTTAACCGTGCATGTTCTATGTCATCCTCGTAGTTCAGCCTTGACTTCTTTTGATACAAAAGCTTTAAACCTCGAGGATCCCGAGGAACCCAAATTTGCCTTAAATGGCAGCAAAGGAACCTCTTCTGGTCTCGACGTTGATCCAGTAAAGCAGTGCAGAAGCTTACAGAGCTTCTACTATGATGCTGTTACTGAAGTGTTTTGCTCTTAGTTATGCATTAATGGGTGCCTCAAGTCTGCTAAAATAGTGCTTAAAATGGAAGACGACACTTTGCTGAGAAGAGGGACAGTTTAGGAAATTTATAAGCTTGGGGAACCCATGAGGGTTTCCTATAAGTACCCTCATGGGTTCCTAAAAAAAATCAATGGATTTTCATAAGGTTCAGAAATTACATATTTATACTTGAATGTGTAGTAGTGTGCACGAAAACTTGCATCCAAGCAATCTGCCCGTTTTTGTTTTCCCCGAGCTCGGGGCTCTGAACTTATCATTACTTAACTAGCCCCGGCTGCATGTTCCGTCAATTTCAGAGGGGAGGACAGCTTCATGGTCTTGCTCTGTGATGCTACAGGTTTAATGAAGCTGCACTGAGATCGACAGTAAACAAACCAGGTGCCATACCGTTTTGTTGCTTGGTGACAGAGACACGTCCTTGCAGCCGGCATGGCAGGGTGAGAAAAAGCTGGTGAGTTTGTCGTTCGAGCAAACGGGCTCGTAGATCTGGGTGGTGCAGTCACAGTTCACGTTGCACGCATCCACGAGAGATGTCCTGCAAATGAAGTCAACAAGGATGCAACAAATGTAAAACCATTTGATGAGATTTGAGACCACTGTGCCACTGCACCTTTAGCCAATCGTTGGAGACACTATGACTGATGGCACAATGATGTTAGGTACCTGTACCTCAGATCCCACTGACTAAAAGGTCTGACTTTCTTTGAATGTGCTGGCTGGCTCGACAAAGGACTGTGGTCACCACCCATATGTCGATGCATGCTTTTGTTTCCAACCAAAGTACCCAGAGCACTGAGTGCTTTGAACACAAGTATGGGCACAAGGAAACCATTTTCTTAGTTCACATTATAGGCAACATTGTATATTACTGCATTCTTTATGTGGGCATAACGTCAATGTTCACACATAGACATCTATATCAAGTGAGTTGGGAATCTATCTCTCACGTCTGGAGACGATTTGAACAAAATTGTGCTCACGTGGTGTTGGTGCCGGGGCTGACTCCCGCAACGATGGGGTTGTCGCACCCGATAAACATCATTGCGATGAACCCGGTCGTGAGGGCAATCTCAACAAGGGCAGAGTAGCCCGCGAGGATGGTGGGCCGTGGCCTCAGCCGGTGGACTGCCACAGCACCCACCATGATCCCCACCATGGTGGTCACCACCTTGGCTGCTCCTGTGGGAACCAACAGAGTGTTCGAGCGACAGTGCTTGTGAACTGTCCGCACTACGACACACACGCTAGGGGAAGCAGAAGTTTTTTTTTTCTTCGTTGTGAACGGAAACTCGATTCCATGTTGTTTTTTGTGGTTGCTTGCCTGCAGCAACATACTGGTATTTTTTTGGAAGGTTCTTTCTAGCTGCTATAATTTGTTACGTCCGAATCCCGGCCGAGGTGCCCGCAACCTGACGGAGGCTTATTGCGGAGAAGGCGCCGTGTAACCGAGCTTTCGGTTGCACTTAAAAGATCCCCAGATGGTCGAAATAAATCCCCAGTCCTCCGCTGGGGCGTGCCAGATGCCCGTCATTGGTTTGGCACGTAAAACGCCCAAATTTTTTTTTGGCTATAATTTGTTACAGTTTTGATTTATAATATAACCATGGATTTATTAATTGATCTAGATAAATGTGGCTTGCAAGCGATGTGGCAGTATCTGATGTTGCTTTTGTTACACTGGGGTATTGTAAGGGTGCCTGAAATGAACATATTAAAGTGAGGGAAGTGATTCTTCCTATGGTGGTCTGGCAATTAACACAAACCCATTTCGTTTGCAAGGCAGTGCATTTTTTTTTAATGCACTGCCTTGCAGTGTTTTCGGTCATTTTAAAACAACAGACTTTTTGTTTCATCACTCTACTGGGATTGTGGGCAGTTTCTGTTTTGTTTATGGGAAAAATATTTGTAATTGTGGTATTAGTCTAATACAGGAGTGGCCAAGCTGCGGCTCGCGAGCCGCATGCGGCTCTTCGCGTGTTAAAGTGCGGCTCGCGGCTCGCTCTCTTACACACCCCCCCCCCCCCCTCCCCCCGGCCACCCTCCCGGTCACACGAGCACTTCCCGAGAAAGAGAAATGGAACGCGTTTTAAATCGAAAAACAGGTAGCGGTTTGGTAGTGTTGAGCTACTGCTTACTGCCTTACGTACAGTTGGACTGCTTTTGACTCGGATAGACTGAAAGTAGTTAGAATTTAGTTTATTGTTTTAGACAAACGTTTGTGCCCCCCCCCCCCGGCTCTTGGAAGTTTCGTGGTTTTGTTTGCGGCTCTTAGGCCGGGTGAGCCTGGCCACCCCTGGTCTAATATATGGATTGTTGAAGGGCACTATTTTGTGGTAACTGTCATTTTTCTTATTGATCCCTGCAACTCACTATGCTGCACTGATGTGATAGCTGTGCCAAGGTACTCGTCGTCTTGCATTCGACTACCTTTCACAAAACTGAAAAATTTGCGACAACATTGTGCCGAAGTTAATTTATTTTTTATTTTTCTCAATAATGAAACCGTCTATGGGGCCATTACATAATTACGTGCAAATTTTTCACACTTCCGATGACTGATTCGACTATGTATCAGGTATTAGATTTTATCTTTGCATTGAACACTGGTAGTAAGAGAAAATTTCTGATCGAGGTTGATGTTTGCAAGTTAATTAGCTCGCTTCTCACCGTACACTGGCGCACTGCGGTGAAGCGGCATTCGCAGAGTCGGCAACGCAAGAACTGCGATTTGTGCTGTCTGCGCTACTTTTACGAAGCTTAGTGCACTTCGTCTACGCTTTGCACCGTGTAACAAGGTGTCATGCGAGCAGGGGCGGATGCAGGAATTTCCCCGAGGGAGGGGGGGGGGGGGGGGGGGGGTCAGGTGTTGGTCAGCGTACCATATGTTTAGGAACCCCCTCCCTCCCTCCCTTGTTTTACGCCCTGAATTTTACACATGTAAAAATCAAGAGGGGGGTCAGGACATCCGGACCCCCCCTTTAAATCCGCCCTTTAAATCGTCGTGCGTGAGGCTTTGGAAATGACCTTCATCCCTTTCGGAAAAGTCACGCAGTGCGATCGTGTGCATCTCACTTTGCTGCAAGGCAACCGCGTGCATGGGTGAAAAGTGCTCTTGGAGCGAAATGGCGCGCGCATTTCCGTAATGTTTACGGTACTGCATTTTCCTAACGATACTCCATGGACTGTCCACAGGCATAAACTGCACGCGGATTCTTTTCCATTTTTTTTTTCAACCAAAATTTGGTTTTGCGGATTATACACCGGGTGTAAATATGGTATATAGAAGCATCTACCCATCTCGACACCTGAGCAAAGCTTCAATTAATCCAAGAATCCCAGAATGAGTTGCATCATATATGTTGCTCATTTTCTGTTTCCTTGCAATCTCTTACCTGTGTAATAGCTGGCTTTGGATGCAGATTGCCCAAACTGGAACTCCACATATTTGGTGAAGGCTGTCCCATAGCCCGCAGTGGCGTGAAGCACAAACACTGCTCCGATTGTTTTCAGCATGAAGATTGGGTTCCGGCCCAACCTCTTGACAATTACTACAATGTCTGGAAAGACCACGAGACGAGAAGTCAAACAGTAATACGAGAGCTGTTTTTTGTTCAACCTCATGAACTGGGCAGAAGAAAAAAAATAATAACCATGAGAAATGTCTTATTATGTACAACCTTTGAATACATGCTGTGGCCACTTCTCCACATAATCATTGCCTAAACTTGGTCAATTATCATGACGTGGCATAATATTTTGGATGTCCTCCTCAAAGAAGGTTACTGTCTGCGTTCTCGGTTGTTCCATGACGCGTTAGCAAGATCGTCAGTCGCGACAGACGTTCTTCTTTGACTCCCATCATCATAGACATATGTTAGTCCTTCCCGTAACTTCATGCAGTTTCCCCCATTCACATTACGCATCAAATTCCTTAAAGAGGGCATCCAAAAGTTTGGCCCTTTATGATGAGGCCCAAAAAGCTGCAGGTAATATCGTGAAGGAATAGCTACATGTATGTATCTTAACTTTTCTGTTTATGTACACATATAACCAATTTTCTTTTCTCTGTACACAGCTCGTCTGATGTTTATCCGCTCAAGAACATCGGCAACTCTGCTATGTCTAATCTGGACAAATCACGACGATAGTCTAAGTTAGTAGAAAGAATATGAAAAAGGAACCTGCTGGAAAAGTGGCGGCCGATAACTCGCTAGGAAACTTAGCAGATCTGTTGTCCCGAATAAACTATAGGTCTCTAAGCAAAACGTTGACTAGTACTACTGTGAGGCTTCCAGGCAGTTCTGCAAGTTCTTACTCTCAGGTCAGACTACGTTCATGATTTGTTTTAGCAATCCTCCCATATAACAAGCGGTCTCAGAAGTACACCGTGTCGTGGTATAAACATTGATGGTGATTTCATACCTTTACAAATGGCGAAATTTATGAAGGGATGTTTCTCTGGGCCGTTTTCCGTCTTGAGACCGTCCTTGGATTTACTTTTTGACAGCTTCTGGAGATTGTTCACTTTGTAGTGCTTTCCCGACGGCAGAATCCGCGGGAAGAGCATCATAGGAAGAGCGACAAGTGCCAGCCCCATAGCGAACAGGATGTAGCCCATCCACCAGGCGCCAACCCACCGCGGGTCTCTGGGTGTGATGCCAGGGTCATCTGGAAAGGTCAATCAGATTCCACTTGTGCAGTGTGGAACGTGATACTCAGCTTTTAACACAGAGCGCGTTTTATCAACCGAATTCCACGAGAAAACCGTCATGAGTAAGCGCCACGAAGGACTGTAACACCCTGACCTGATGTGTAACTCCGTGACGTCACGTGACCCTGACGTCACTGTGTGACGTGGCGTCATGATGTCACGTGTATCATGGCGTCGCATGAGGTCACGTGACACTGCAACGTGACATCACGAGATACCATGACGCCGTGTGACGTCACGTTACACTGACGTCATACAACATCATGTGACTCCATTATTATGACATCGCATGACGTTTGAATTCACGTGACAAACAACACGTGACGTCATGATATGCGACACCCAGCGTTGGACCCGCATCGCACCGGTGCAGTGCGGTTCATGGTACATGGAAGGCTAGAGGGGAGAGGGGAGCCTCCTTCTCTCCCCGCCAGTCTTTCGTGTACTAAAGTGGAAAGAGTTTACTGCACTGGACGGGTGCGGTGCGGGCCCAGACGTTTCGGAACCGCCCATAGACGCTGGTTGTACGAGCAGTACCCCCCTCTCCATTCACGGCTCGTCTCCCGCACTCTGGTCTCCCGTTATGCTCCCGTCGTTTGACGTGCCATCGGCTTGAGGATGGCTGCTATCGTAACTGCATTGTATTATATAGAATGCATCTGTTTTGATACACAGCGTCTAGATGGCGTTTCACCGTACTCTTTACAATGCACAGTTTTGCAATGACAAACTACAGATAACTCTTCAAACGATGGGAGGCTGACTGAAGTGAGGGATGGGGGCAACCCCCTTCGCGGGAGTTCTGCAGCTGACCTAATCTAGTAACATTGGTTAGACACCGTGACATCATGGTATACCATGATGTCATGTGGCATCACAGTTATGTGATGTCACGTGACGTCACACACAGCATATGTTCAGCTCATTCACAATACATTCTGTGCTCCTTGGTCTCTGTCAGCATGATCAAGCTGTACTAGCCCAGACGCAGCCGATGCTACGAGCTGATGGGACCAACCAGGCAGCATCAAAAACTCACAATCATGGCTTTCGTCATGTCTCTGCACGTGTTCCATCATCGCTGAACCAATCATAAACAGAAAAGGCCTAGTGACCTGCGCTTCTGGCACTGTTTGTTTGATCCCATTAGCCCGTAGCGTAGGCTGCGTCTCGACTTTGGCTAAAAAGAGGTATTTTTTACTACTTTTAAGTAACCACTGCGCAGAATATACTACAGATTTCATATTCCTTAAGAATGGAAGAGCAATCAAGTTTTTGCATACAAACACTGATTTTCGCAAAAGGTGCATTTATGAGGCCAACTTTCCTTTTGCTTCTCTTGATGACGGGCAATTCAATTAGTTGCGCTTGCCGTATGTTGAACAGGCATGAGCTACAAGCTCATTTTTGTTCAAGAAGCAGAACAGGAACAATAAATGCAAAATCAAATAGCCGATTTGGGATCTTGAGAAGTCACGCGAGAGACATCTCCTGAGGACAACTCTCAAAGTTAACGCACTCGAATTTTTTTCTGTGATCTGTCACAGAATGTTGAACGCGAGTGTAGGTTTTATACTCGGGGACAATAGTGCAGGGATGACTCAAAGAAAACAATTACCGTGCGTAGCATTGACAGCATTGACTCTATACTACGTTTTCTCCGGTTATGATATTCGATCGTTTCTACGAAGTCTAATTCCGCAATTATTCCCATAGAAGTCTGTATGAAAGTTGGGAGTTGGACCCGCTCTGTACTTACGGAATGGATCTTCGTAAAACCGTAGGCAGATCCCGGCGGTAAGGAATCCCAGGACGGGCCCAAGGAGCCTGAAGGCGAAGCCCATTCCTAGGGTTAAGACAGCACTTGATATACTCTGCAGAGTGACGTCATCTATAACAAAATCGCTAATCCAGTCAAAATATTGTTTTTTCTTTTTTTAGGGGCGAAGCTCCTTAGGGGCTAGCCATGTCCGTATGTCCGTCCGCCGTCCGGCATGCCCCTGCTCGTGAGCTCACGAGCAGGAGCTCACGAGCTCCTGCTCGTGAGTTCAGCAGCGAGAGCAAGAAAAAAAAATTAAAAAAGATAATAAAAAAGAAAAAGAAGAAAAAAAAAATAGGGGGCTCTGAGATGCCATCCCATCTGTCTTCTTAAAAAAAGGAAAAAGAAGAAAACCACACATTCTTCTACTGACATGATTGAAAACGGCACCATCAGCACTACCTATGACCAAAATCAGTATCAAGAAAAAGAAGAAAAAAAGAAAGAGTAGGGGGTTCAGAGTTGCCATCCCATCTGTCTTCTTAAAAAAAGAAAAAGAAGAAAACCACACATTCTCCTACTGACATGAATGAAAACGGCACCATCAGCGCTACCTATGACCAAAATCAGTATCATCAGCACCACCCGAGCTTCGCCCCAATCAACATCATTCACCACGTGGAGATGCGGTATTTTTATTTATTTTTTTCTAGTGCGGGTTTTGTTTAGGTTAGGTTAGGTTAGGTTAGGGCGGAAGCCAATGGGAGCGCGGATGCTGGGGCGAGTCTGAACTTGCAAGTGCGCGGAACGCTTTAATTTGTGCCATAAAATGAAGTGTGAACCAAGTACTAGCGCTGGTCCAAGTAGGCGGAAAAAAAGAATTAAAGGAAGATCCTTTAATGGATTCTTAGGAAATGCGTTAACGCGACCTTTGGTAAACGCCACACACGCCCCCCTTTGGGAAGCGCTAACACTGACCCCGCAACGATGCCAAAAAGAGGCAGAAAAATTACAAGAAAAAGAAAAGAAATCCAATACAGAAAAGTGAAGGGGTCAGCGTTTCCCAAAGGGGTACGTGTGTGGCGTTTACCAAAGGTCTTGTTAACGGATTCGCTAAGGATCCATCAATGGATCTTCCTTTAGTTTTTGTAGTACTCGACGCGGGAGCGCGTGTAACACACTCCGATTGTTTGCGCTGAGAGAAAGTGGAATAACGAGAAGCAGCAGGTATGCAAGCTTACTGTGGCTGACGCAGCTGATGATCATGACGATAAAATACGGTAGAAATGCGGTTATATGCTATCCAGCTGACTGAAGAATGCGTAGGATCAGGGAAAGCTCAATAACCGATTATTCCGCTGGACAGGAGTAGATGAAACAGGGAGTTACTCTCGCACAACAGTTTATTCATTCCGCGCATACGACCGTGGACTTCGAGCGCACATGGTCGAACAAAACTGGCGGAGTTTTAAAGGTAAAGACAGAGAATATACGTCGTGCGGGAAAAATAAATGGCGCCGAAAGAGTCACGTTCCGATGTTGTCGGCTGTCGCGCGCGTATGCGTGCTCAAGTGCACCCATGTGTAGGTTTTTCTGTTTTGTTTTGCTACATCCGCAATACCGCTTCGAAGTTGTTCGTTAAAAGTAGACTACTATTGAAAATAAAGCAACAAGAATGCGTAACAAATATTAGGTATATCTGATATTTCGTTATCCCTGGGTTCATATAAGTGGGCGCATTTTAATTGTCTCAGTGAGCTCGCATGTTCATGTGCTATTTTTAAGATAACGTAATAAGTGAAGCCATGAGTTTGGTTTATTTTTTTTTCTTTGCCACAAGCCCTGATCATTGTAATGTAAATATGTAATGATGTAAAATAATGTAATGCAATCATTGTAAATCCTCAGTGTAGAAACTCTCACCCACTACAGAAGGTGCACACACTGCATCCTCACTCTAAGGAGGCAACAAAATGCAGCACCTGCTCTGAAGCTCATCTGGTGCTCTCGTAGTTTATGCTGTACTCGAAGAATCGCGTGCTAAAGGGCAACGCAAAGGGGACTTTTTTGCGTTGCTTTTCCTCCCAAAACTCAGGATATGCAGATCTTCGAAGATCGTTCGAGAAAGCTTAATAATTCCCCCAATGTTTTTATATAAAAAATAATAAACAAGCAGTGTTGGGAAGTAGTCTAAGTACATGGTACTTAAGGTACTACTGTTTAGAAAACTTGTACTTTACTTGAAGTACATTCTCTGAGCATGTTTACCTTCCGAATAAAGTAAAACTCCCGACTTCAGTGTACATTCCCCAAATTTAAAAACAAAAAAATGGCATTTCTTCGTGTGAAAATGCGCTCTTTCGAGATGTCGTCTGCTCATTTCTCGGAATGAAGTAATGGCGGCTATAAAACCGACACAAATAAGTGCCTTGTAAGTTAATTATTTCAAATAGTTCGTCAGCGAGAGTACAACTACTCTGTGGCGACTTGAGTTTATACAATATTTGCTGCCATTTCCGTAAAAACTGATGCGCCTCCGAGCAATGCATACCAGTTAAAAAACACTGTATAGGGAATGAAAGGTCATCATGGTAGATTGTGTTAAAAGTACTATTACTTTACCTTCAAATATATTGTATTTATAGTACGTCACTCCAAGTACATTGCACCCCGTGTACTTACTACTTTACTCGATGCACATAACGCCTCATTTACGTTGTATTTTCCTTCAAGTACTTTTAAGATGTACCTTACGCAACACTGTACACAAGCATGCACTGTCTAAAAAATCAAGGTCATGCAGTGCTAAACCTCAAAGTAGAAATGACACATTTGCAATACATAATTGACCAAACAAACAAGGAAGTACAAAACAGTGAGGCACGCAGAAACAGAACCAGCTATTTAAGCATTTTTGTGAAAAAACAAGCCGATTTATATTTGGCTAGCACCATTCCGATAACGGATCAAAACCTATGAGCTTTCTTTTTACCAGAAAAGCATATAAAAGTAACTTTAAAAGTAATATGCTACTTCTTTACGGTAGTTAGTAATCTACTCAATTACTTTCCATTTGAGTAATTTCTACTCTACTAAAATTAATTTTGAGGCCAATACTCAGTAACTTAACTTAATTACTTTTTTAAAATAATTTGTAGATGTCTGTTGTTCACGAACTGCTCAGCATACATCGGCACTGCTTCGTTTTACTCTGCGCTTTCCTCACGGTGGAGCTTGAAGTAGTGACAGCATATCCCAATGATGCTGAGACTAAATACACACTAATTTGTGTACTTGCTTACTTGAGAAAAAAAAAAAAGAAGAAAAACTGAACAAACTTGCAAGTAATTTCAAGACGAACTAATTTTTAGTTTTTGAAATTGCATTGTAATTAAGGAATTCCTCAGCTACTGCACATCTATCTAATTATACAGTAGGTGAAACGCTTTTAATTAGTAATATTACGGCTTTAACACAGACTGAATCTTATACCTGCAAGTTGATAGATCTCGATCAAACTCGATGTATTGTATTGTTCTTAAACAAGATATTTGACAGAAGTCTGGTTGGGGCCCCTGAAGAAGAAACCGAGTTGATTCTGGAACGCTGTGTCCCACACGATTAGAGTTGGCTAGTGGTGCTTTCTTTTACAATAATTCTATTATCCTCGGTTTAGTTTCTTTTTTCTCGGACACCGAAACCTACACAACGTTGGTCCCAGTCAATGCTGCTAAGCAGTTTCATTCATGCTCGAGAGGTCTATTCGCGCATAAAACGATACGAAACGGGATTGAGGCACACACTCACCAAAGTACATAGGCGAGTTCTTCTTCTGGATGTTGTCGTCCATGTAGCTGCTGCCCACGATGAAGAAGGTGGAGCCTCCGAAGCCGTTGATGAAGTTGGCCACGAAAAAGAGCGCGAACGGGACGTAGCTGTCCGCGGCCGATCCGGGCGCGCAGTCGTGGTGCTTGCCGACCGCGCTGCACAGCAGGTTGTCCGGCTTCTTCCTCGCCAGCAGCTCGGCCGGATTCGAAGAGAGGATGTGCAGCGCCGGCCCGTACACCAGGTAAGGCACGATGCTGAGCAGGCAGCTCAGGACCACCATGAGCGCGCCGATGCCCATCAGCTTGGGCCTGCTGATGCGGCTGGCGTAGTAGCCCGCGATCAGGTTGATGATGATGGGGCTCAGGTTGTCGGCGATGAGGATGATGCCCGTCGTCTTGCTGGACATGGCGAAGCGGCGTTCGATGGTCGACAGTGTTCCCACGAAGTAGGTCTTGTAGGCTCCTTGCAGAATGCCCATGACGCTGTAGACGATGAAGAAGACCCTAGGGTTGGCCAGCCGCTGAAGGATCTTTGGACGGCAGCTGCCCAGACCGCACTGGTAGTCCACATTGTCCTCCATGGCGTGGGCTGTCGCCGCATTGTTCTTGTTGTTGGCGCCGGCTGCTGTGTCGGCCGTGCTCCCTGGTTTCCAGAGGGTGCCTTCGACGGAAAGAAACACCAATAGAAACCTTTTAGAGTGGAAAATTGACTAAGGTAGGTACTCAGCAAGTTGATTAAAGTAGAAGTTTGGGCTAGTTGGTATTTCATGATTAAAGATTAAAGCAGCGCAAGGACACGGACAAGAACAAGAAGGTAAACAAACAAGGCGCTGCACAGCGCCTTGTTTGTCTACCTTCTTGTTCTTGTCCGTGTCCTTGCGCTGTTTTAATCTTTACTCAGCAAGTGCGCGAATATGAGTGGTGGTTTTTGTGCGGTGTCGGTCGTGCAATGCGTAAAAGTGAATGTCGGTGTAACATGGGGGAATGGTTCGCTTAATGTCTTGTGGGGAAGCACTGAAGCAGCGCAGGGTCACGCTTCGTGACTCTGCACCATTCGAGCGCTCTGACATGCTGTATTACCCGGTCCGGGCACCACGGGGCCCGGTCCCGGACACAAGCGCAACAAATAGTAGTGTTTTTGTTTTTAAGATGAAAACGTCACCTGAAACATTGCATAATTCATACGACTATCTTTCAACAGCCTTTCAGTTATAAAAAGAAACAGAAAAAAAAAAAAAAAAAAACCGCATCTCCACGTGGTGAACGATGTTGATTGGGGCGAAGCTCTGGTGGTGCCTGTCTGCGTAGACGCTGAGCCGCAGCATGCCGAGCCTTTCGTTCGTTTTCATCCATGTCACGCTGCGGTCAAATACTCAAATGCGCATATAACCACGTTCCATACCACACATTCTCTTTCTGACATGGATGAAAATGAACGAAAGGCTCGGCATGCTGCGGCTCACCGTCTACGCAGACAAGCACCACCAGAGCTTCGCCCCAATCAACATCATTCACCACGTGCAGATGCGTTTTTTTTTTTGCCCTACACGAGCACGGGAGCACGTGCTCACGTGCTCGTGAGCACGAGCACCCGACGCCGGACATCGGACGGACATACGGACATGGCTAGCCCCTGGGTATTCACACGAGGGAGAAATCCCGGAAATTTCTCCCCGTCACGCGCATCCCACGACGAAAACGTCAGGCTTTGCGATGTGCAAAAGCCTCGCGTTTTCATCTCGTGATGCGCGCGTGCCGGGGAGAAATCCCCGGGATTTCTCCCTCGTGTGAATACCCCTAAGGAGCTTCGCCCCTAAAACCGGCGATCACTATTTTCCACTCAAAGTGTGCTCTGTACACGGGGCACTTTTATACCAAACAAATAATAAAAATAAATATAGAACGATTTTCCGAGAAAGATATGATTGAACATTTATTAATTGCTACATTTTCCACGTCATATGTCCGACGACAATGAAAAGAAAAAAAAAAAAAAAAAACAGGATGATCTTTTTTTTTTTTTTTCGCTTGTTTCCAAGAGATGACAGTCACGAAACGCACGTTCTTTTCGGACTCGTTCAGACGGCGCAACCATTTCGCGAAACTACGTTTCGCGACACTAGATGCGCGAGAAAAATGCATCGTGTGAACGGGCCTTAAGACTTACGGGCACCAAGTTTGACATGTAACAATGAGGATGCGCAGTGCGCGGCACAGCGAACGCGAGTACGGCGTAATTTTTCGCATTTTGTAACATCGCGTGGCTGTGCTCAGCGGAGTGTACACAGGTATACGCTATGATAATAATGCAATTAAATGGAAAGGTGCAAGCGAGCTGGGCAAGCAGTTCAGTGATTCTCAGCCATTGATATTTGGCGTACCCCTTGTGGATCGGAGGAAATGATGGAGGACCCCGTTCGTGGTGAGGGGAAAGGAAAGTATAGGTTAATTATTCTAAAGATTTAATAAATGGACATAGCTAAGTGCTAGTGTGAAGAAGACTTCTCCTATTGACACATACACCAGAAAACTCGCCGAAAACTGGAGCGTTTCTTCTCAATCTAAGAAAATGCAAGTTTTATTGCCGGGCTTGACTGATGAGGCAGGGCTTCGCGGACTCCCATTTGAGAACCACTGCGCTGCTTTGTGCTGTGCCGCGCTTTCTGTAGAGTCGACGAAGACGAATGCCGAGCGAACATGTGGCTTCGAACGCCTCCAGCTTGATCCGTGTTTTATGGCAAGGCCATCTGCTTCTGTGGTTACGACTGCTGCATGGGCGGATACCGCTGTACCCTCCGAGTCGGGTAGTGGTGATCGCTTACTTTGCTCGTTATCGCAGTGCGCCGCTTCTAAGCTGACAGTTCGGTGGAAGCTACGTTTTCCTTTGAATCAGTCATACGTCTATCTTCCGCCAAGTCGCACTCCCTCCCATACCCAGGCGAAGGGAGCGGGCTCAGGGGATGAAAGGAAAGTGTTTTATTGGTCCGGCGAGTGCGTTGCTTCCACCGCACCATCGTATCAGCTTATTGATGAGCGGAGTATAGGTGCCGGTGGCGTGCAACATTCAACTTCGCTTTAGCATAACCTGGCGAACACCAGAAGCTGGTCCGAGGGAGCTATGCTCCTAACAAAAATTATCAATGGGTTTCAATTGAGTTTCTAACGTATTCTTCACTCAATTGAAACTTATTGATGATATTTGTAAGGGTATGTTGTAATTGGTAGACGTCTGAAGCGGTCACCCAATGTAGGCTTATAGCTTCTTCGGAGCTCGCCCACGCCAATTTTTTACGAATTCACTGCTCACGCAAGATTGCTGGAAACTCGGTGCTTGAAAACGTGCCGTGGAACGATGATCTAACGTGCATTATACATGCATGAATTAATAAATGGATGGATGTCTATGGTTAAACTCTTTAATCAAGCGGCGACTCGCGCCTCCTAGCCAGTGTTTTTTTCTGTCAACAATCAAACTTTAAAAAAAATCGTGACCTTCAAATTATTTTACATCTACCGGATTTTGAATAGAGCGAAAATGTTTTCGATTCCCGTAGATATTGTTATAACCGGGTTCGTCTAGACTCTAGATATACGCGTATTAAAAAAAAAATTAGTAAAGCTTGTGTCCAGGGTTCAGGTATATAATACCAGATGTGCCGGAATAATATGGCTACGATTTTAAAGGGACCATGAAATGACTTTTTTACTTTTTCCACACAACTTTTACAATAAACCGTCAATGTTCACTGAATGCCGAACAGGCATCCGTTTTCGTCTCGGTTTATTAACTTCTACACAAAAAATTAATGAAATATCGACTTTTTCTTGACCGCAAAACAAGCCGTGACGTACGATGTTTCCGGAACCGGAAGTTCTCTCTGCAGTAGGAGATGGGAGCGTTAGCGAGTTGGGGTGCGCCGGTGGGTTTTACTGCGCCGATGTCACCGACGTATTTTCTGAATCGGCGCCTCTCATCGCCGCATCGCAGCTGAGCGAAATTCAATGAGATACGTTGCGCTACAGCGACAGCATGGGACTAGTCCCATACGCCGGTATGCCTGTTGGGAAGTGCAGATGGGAACAATTTGCCGCGGCGTTTTTCGCGGTCTCGGAGATGCAGGAGCGAGCCGACGTTAAAAAAGATACGTTTGAACTGTCAGCAAGAGCCACGTAAATACCTGTTCACACTCGGAGCGGACGCGCGCGTTTGATGAAGTGCTGTATTCGCGCTGTTGGTAAGCGCTTCGGGACCGATCTTTTACAATTGCAACTCGATACTGACGCGACACTCGGCAAAGAAAGGTTGGACCGGTATTGCACGTATACCTCCCACGAACTGTTACAGCTCGACAGTGACGTGCAGTCTGTCAGAATAAAAATGGCATACCAATAACAAAGTGTACATACCGTGCTACGAAGGTAATCCATACAGCGTTTATTTCAGCTCTATATCACACAAAACAAGGAGAGGATCGACGAGGGTCCCTTTTCGACGAGTGTTCGTCAACACTGCCTCGGAAAACAAGGGGAAGAGATTGACCTCACCTCTTAACCTAAAATTGAGGTCAGCGATCAAACTATAATACGGAAGGGTCCACAAGGGTAGCGCGGCCATATTCCATTCAGTACGCCAGCCGGTCGTAGGCAGACGGTCTTGCGACGAAGCAACGCTGCGCCGAGTCGGAGTGCCTGCTAGGCCTATATTCTGAGAGTTTCGTCGGAGCGGGATTCGCGGCTGTTGTCGCTCTTCTCGGGTGTTTGTGGATCCAGCGTTCTTGCTCGTCGTGGTTTGTTTTAAGTACATTTCTTTCTTGCTGCTTGAAGTCGGCACGCGCGAGATGAACACGTAGAAAAATAAACGTTCAGTCAGTCAGAGTTTTGAGAGGAAGGAAACCAAAGGAAATAACCGTTGTAAACTTGGCCCTGCCCTACTGCGCACGCGCAGTAGTTGCTTCGTTTACCACACGATAGATGGCGCTTGGCTCTCAGCATTATCAAATTTGGCAATTTTCGCCACACATCTCTAATTATGCTACAAAATGTGGATCTGAATATTATTTAACAAAACTTTTAGGAAACATTCGCCGGCTATTTATTGTTTACGATCGCGGTGCTGGTCAGGTAGGCTCTTACCCAATAGGCGATGTGGATTCGGCTGACGTGCACCGATTCTGCGTATGCATCGTAGTGAAAAGGCAGAGCTTTCGAAGGAAAGAAGTCGCAAAAGAGTCCAGTTTTCTTTTAAAAGTTCTATAGCAAATAATTTTTTTTGGCTCCCTAGTCTTGTGTTTTTGTGTTCCTTTTCACACCTTTTACGACGTGCGGTGGATGAAATTCGATTTTAAAATCATTTCATGGTCCCTTTAAGAAGACCCATTTTCAGTATAGAGCCGGTATAATTCCCAAGTTTGATGCAGACCTCTTTAGGAAGGATTGTAGATTGAGATATTGTACCAAAAGGTTAAGTCTTTTAATAGCTCTATGAAAAGGCTTAACTTTTGCCGCTAAATTTACGAGTCGTGGGATTCAAGCTCCTGTTCGCAACCGGGTGCGGGCTCCTTCCGCCCAACGGATCGACAGGATCTATCCTTTCCTCGACCTATGCCACTAGTCAGGTGACCTCTACTTAACTATCTCCGCCTTCCGGACGCCTATTTTTTT